CCAATTTCCCCTGCTTATTCACAAAAACCCCCCCCCCCCCCCCCCCCCCCCCCCCCGGCGATAAATAATGACCGGTCCCTAGGTATGATCATGATTCAAAACAATACAAACGTTTTCTTTCCCCCTTTTGTTTTTCTTCTTTTTTTCCTTATGGCAAGAGCGCTGTAGATATGCAGTAGAAACCCGCGACGTTAAGAACCTGTTACCCTAAAATTTGTCAGTTATAGGCCCCCTCTATACGCGAACCTTTTTAGAGTAAAATTTGAAAAAGATTTCTTATTTTCTAAAATCAAAAAAAAATTAAATACACTTGGGCAAAAGGACTTCAAAATTCATGTGGTTGGTGCTTCAGTCCTTTCTCTCAGTCATTTTTAGATGGATACTAATTAAGTATGCAGATTTTCTATAAGGAATAAGCTGCTACAATGCTTTTTTTTTTCTTCAGAAAATAAGAACCTATTTAAAAACCTAAATAGGCTAAATTTTTGCTAATTACTATTTATGTAAGAACCTGTTTGAGCTTACTTGGAAAAGTGCAGGCTCTCAGTCGCAGGTTTTTACTGTAACTGAGATGTTTTTTTGGATCTTATAAGCCTTATTAAATGTTAATTATTGGGCAACAGTTCTTTCTTTTTCTCCACAAACCAACCCTTAAAAAAAAAATTGGACAACAACTCTGCACGCACACCGTGCTTTTTGGTATGTTCACTTTCTATCTTGATGCCATGGTTGCCCAGCCACGACATGAAATTTTCCAATGTGACGTTTTTATGGAGGAAAGCACACACGTTTCCTTTTCTTTCGACACTAGACAGTCTGTGCTAGGCTCTCAGATACTAGGAAAGCCAAGTGAAAATAAGACGCGTTTTTCTCATCAATTTTTACTGCATTACTGCACTACTGTTTTGGAGCCTTGAACAGGCTAGACATTACAGTGTGGTTACCAAAATACCATGCGCTCCCCTTAAAAACTCACTAAATTTGACAAAATTCGGCGAGTTGGAGTTTAGTATCGCAAGGAACCGTTTAATACAACACGAATTTATTTTATTAGTGACTTTCTCGTTCCCGTCGCTGATTGTCCTTTTTGTTTAAGCTCCCTAATATAGTCAGAAATCATAAACCAGGCAGGCTTAAAGAAAATCTTCACCGCAGATCTCGTAAAATGAGTTTAATTGTTCAGCTGATTAAAAGTAAATCTATGAAATATACCACAAAGAAAAAAACAAAAGATTGTTTACACAAAATATCAGCATCAAATAGTGAAAACAATAGAAGAAATGAAAAGAAATCCAAACGTCTTATTCTATTTCTCTTGAAAGTGAAGCATATTCGAAAATTGCAGTAACGAACTCAGAATCACATTCTTATATTGCATCATCGTTTGCTAGTGTCAGAGGTGAGCTTGCCTCGTCTGGTTCGGCAAGGCTTTTGCACACGAGGCCACAGGGAAAACGGGGCATCAGTTGGCAAATACGGTCATTCCAATAACCAGGAGCATGTGTAGGCAGAACTGTAGTGTTCCCAGTCCACATGTTTCCACACGGTTCCCGTGCATTTCCATTCGGCTCCCCAGGAGCCCAGTTCCTGTATTTAGGAATGGAGAGATCGGACCAGATGAAGCCTCGCACGCGCGTGTTCCACTTAAGTCCGATCCAAATCATCGACACTGATGGTGCACGTTTGTGAACCAGCTTCAACACAAACTCGTTTTCTTCGTCGCTGTTTATCTTCACCAGTTCTCCTCCCAGTCCTTTGCAGTACACCTGGGCCTGGTGCCAAGTCTTGATGGAGCTGTTCACAAAGTAACAGTAGCTTTTAAACTGCATCCAGCCTCTAGGACAATGGTAACCTAGAAATGTGTCAAAAGACAAAACCAAAGTTCATTAATAGTTCAAAAAATGTGGCGAAGCAATGATTTCAAATTACCAGTAATTTAAATTATTTTTCGTGGAATCCGCAAAGGTAGCGAAATCTGTTGCCACAAAAATGTATGGGGTCGTAACAGAGGCATAGTGGGGTTCCCGTATATTCTTTCGCTCAACTTTATCCTTACCTCAAATTGTGTTTTCCTTTCTTTTTGTTTACGACAGTATATATGACACGGAAAGAAGAAACAAAATTAACCGAGGATAAAGTGAACCACAACAGTTTTCTTCACAGCTCGTGTTTTACACGTATTTTATACTTCTATAGCGCATTTTAACATAGGCATAAGGTCAAATGTACTAAGTAGAGTACGTACATTAAGGCGCATAGAGTTGACTATCTAAATGGACCAACTATTTCGAAAGAAAAGAGATTGTTGATCTGGTGTACAAAGCAAAACGATTTGACGAAATTTTTTTAATTATCAAACTGTTTTTGAGAATTATTGATAATTCATCTATTTTTTCGCAGTTTGAAATGTATTTTTTACTTTCCACTGCATAGAAAAAAGGAAGGTAAAGAAGAAAGAAATTTGCACTTTTCTTCCCCATAAAGGTCCGAAAATTTATGCGAGAATCACAGCGATAAACAATTTTTTTTTCTTTTTAGTTAGAGCTTTCAAAAGCTGTTTCAGTAACACGTATAGAAATCGTAAAAACCCTGATAATTTGTTCTATATGCTTTAATTTGAATCATACATGTTGGGTACAAGGTGATTCCATCCGAGCGTTACGTCGTTTGAACGAGAAACTCTCTGAAGAGCCAAACAGCTTGTAGTTGGCACAGATCAAGATTGATCTTGCTCACGGCTATTGGTTAAAGCCAAAAATATTTCAAAACAACAGAAAAATCAGCTCTTCAGCAAAATAAGAAAACGAGGATAAACAAGCTTCACGTAAGTGGTACAATGTACTGTGCCATCGTTAAACGACCGCTGAATCCGTTAACACAGCCTAACCGGCTCAAATCATCTGCTCAGTCGCTTTGTGTATCTAAGGTGCATGCCGCTGAGGGTTCCGCAAACTTATAGCCGTTGAAACCAAAATTTTGCATTATGCTTTCCTAACGAATGCTCCAAAAGGCACAATTTCTTTTGGACCTACCTTCTTAGCTTTTTCTTAACTGGAAAGAACGCACCAAAAAAAAATGAAATTGAGAACAGCGCTGAGGCAGAGTTTACTTTAATACCGTGCACTAAATATATTTAGACATTAAATAATTGCTTATAAAATGCCCTGAATCTTTCGGATCTCTGAAATTTATTTTGCTACTTGCTCGATTAAACCAAATTTGCCAAATGACTTTTTTTGCTAACTTCTTTATCCTAGTTTCGCATTTGAAACGAAAAGCTACAGTTGTATTTAAATAATTGCTTACCAGACACGCACGAAATCGCGAGAAAGAGAGGTAGAACTACTGAAAGCACTTTCATCTCGGCAAATCCAGTCCGGCGTTTTTCAAATCTCTGGAACTTGGAAATATTTTCTCTCACAGTTAAGACGGCCTTTACTGAACTGGCACGAGAGTGAAGAACGACTAAGTAATAAAGATATCGCCGGAAAGAAACAATACAATGCTGGCAAAGGTCCTGTTCCGGCCGCGAGGCTTAAGTTTCTCACAGGGCGTAAACGAACCAACCACGCGACAGACAACTGAGCCACCCGAATGACTTCGTAAACAACGCTAAAAGCCATGCAAGAGAGAAACCTCTCTTCGCAAGGTACTGAGTTACGGCCGAATGAACATCAAGTCATTTTCAATCGGAAAACTTGGTTTTAATAATAAATAAGAGTCGTAAAATCTAGATACAGCTGTATCTCATTGTGTCTCAGTCTTGGCAGCCACGAAAAAAAAAATCTTTGGACCGGGTCAAGCGTAAATTATTAGTTGATGAGACTCTCAGTCACGTGATGTACGCTCTTCCGAACATAAAAACTAGATCAGCTGTATGTGTTCAATTTTCCCCGCCACACTTCTCATCTTTGCAAGAAAGTGTGGCCCTTTGCAAAGGCAACGGATAAGAGAAAAGTAAAAACTAAGATTGAGCACGTGGAAAGAAATAGTCGTCTACGTGCACAAAGTTGTTATTAAGAGGAAAAAAACTTCACTGAACAATAAGAAGATTTAACAAATTAGACTTCAAACTCTTGTTACTTTAGTGGCATCCGGTCAAAAGGTCCAACGTCTTCCCCTTACGTCCTTGGACATCTATTCTCCTCAAGTTACTGAATTAGTTACCAACACCTTCCTTTGTTGATTAGGAGAATTTCGACTTTTATTAAACGAGTTTTTATACTTATATTGAATATACATAATATTCAGCTGTATTTCAACCTTTTCCAATTTCTTGAAGCCACGAAAGTAAGCCCGCGTGATCGAGCCTAAGGATCTACTAACAAACCGTGGAAACACCTTTTTTTTACGTATATTGGTAACGACCACCAACGTTATACGATCACATCCTTTCGGCACTTCATGCACACAGTCGCTTTTATTTATAAAAAACGTCGCGCTAATATCATCATAGTTTAAAGGCCTTTGGGCGGTGTGTGGTTTTGGCTCAATCCGAAGGGGTAACATGATATATAGTAAAATACTTTAAAATGGTCATGCAATATTTCATACTGGTCATTTAAAGCACGTTGCAAGTCCTGCATTGTTACAGTTTACTAGATATTTTGTCGGACCTCTCGCAATAACTTTGCTTAAGTGTAAATTTCAGATATCGGATAACACTGATTGTTATAAAGTTGTTATTATAAGTATACTAATACTTTGTTTACTTTAAGTTAGCCTGCATAACAGCATGAGCAGGGCGAGGCGAACGCGCGAGGCGCGAGACGAGGGGAATTTTTACTCGGGTCATTTCTAGTCTTAGAAAACAGCAACCCTGGTCCGGCATTAAAACAACTATAATATATTTCTGGTTAACTTGCTCTCTCATTTTTTCTTTTCTTTTTAACTTATTTTCTTCCCTCTCGTCTCGCAATTCGTGCTCGTCTTGCGCTTCGCGCAAAAAGCTGGGTTCGCCTCACTTCGCTCATCGTTATGGAGGCTAAGTTAAAGGGTTTTTCGTCCTTGTAGTTGCCCTCGTCTTAAGATCTGAGGGCCTCTGACGTTAGAACATAGGTGGTAAACGCTGCAGCTGAACAAAAGTGGAGTTATAAATGCACTTGGGAGGTTTGCCAAGCACGAAAGAAGCGCAAGGGAGCAACTCTAGCTTCTTAACTTTAAAGAATACTGCAATCCATTCATGTGGTGTTCGTGGAACTACTTACACAAGTGCAATACTATCTCTCTGCTGCATTCACTGGCAAAAAAAATACCACTTCAACACTGCTGGCTTCAGTAAAGTCCAGAGCTGCTTTTATACTGAACTCTATATCAGAGCTTTTCCAATCCCCTTCTTTCATGTGTTTTATTCTCTTAAAGTTCACTTCTTTTCTGTTTTGTGCGTTTTCAACCATGTCAGGATTAAGTTTCATGTTGGACGAGTCATACTGTTCCCAGAATTCCAAAGGCGACCTGTGGATTACAGAATATACAACTTATGGCAATGACGTTGTCTTAAAGGGGATATGTCACGAGGATATTGCTAATTTAGGTGCGAGCTCTGTTTTAGGTGCTTGAGTCATTACTTAAATTTAGAGAACTAAAACTACTCTGGATAGCCTAAAAAGTGTTTTAAATGTATTTAGGAGGAAACCGTCGTTGGGTGCCCCTGCGTTATGAAGAAGTTCACCACGAAACACTAATTATTGCAAATTTTGTGGTAATTTTTCCAGGCATAGCATTTAAACTTGAAAAGTTGACCCAACTTTTTTCAAGTTTCAATGCATGTCCATTCTTGGCGACAGGAAACAGCTTTTTTAATACCGGTAATAAATTTGACCATTATTTTTGGAATTAAACTGATGTGAAAAACGTTATAGCTTTGTAAAAAGAAACTAGGAAATAGCGAGACATAACCCCTTCAAACAATGCTAAAAAGAAAAATAAATAGGGGTAGAAGCATATAACCCCGAAGCGTCTAACTTCCCCTTATGTGTTAAGAACCATGCTCGGGTTTTTTAGCCGGCGCAGCCGTCCAATCAGAAGCAGGGAAAATTAATTTGCCCAAATATGGAATCAAAGAATTCAAGACTAAAAACTTTAGCTTGCAACGCTTATAAATGTAAAATTTATACGGCCGAAAGAAATCGTTTCGTGCGTAAAAGATAAAGTAATTATGCTGCTATAAAATGCAAGTTTCGCGCGGCAATCTCGCTTATCAGTAATTCTATATTAGGAAGTAAATTTTGATTGGTCCCCTAAAAAATCCGAGCTCTGCGACAGAGTTATACGCTTCGGGGTTATATGCTTCTGATAGGGGAAATAGCTAAATAGGAATTAATTAGGCTCACTAATACACCACTATAGGGTGCATTCGTTTGCAGCACAAGCGTCTTAAAGCCGAAAAAAAAAGGCAAACGCAACGGCCGTATGCCTATATTGCAAATGAATGCATACTAGACTGGCTCACTAGTAAGCCTATCTAGTGGCTTTCCACATTTTTCATTTTTCCTTTTAGCATTTCTCTATGACTATGTTATTGTGACATGGAAGAGTTTTTTACCGAGGCTCGGTTTAAAACGTCGTATTTCACATGTGCCAAATCTGTTACAATTTAGCGATAACAATAGCATGGAATCGGGCACAGGTGAAATGCGACGTTTGGACCGGGCCTTAAGATCAACGTAGGTTAACGTTTCGATGTTTTTTCTATTATCACTAGACTACAAGCCCTCCCTTATGAAACGTTGGATAGCGCTAACTAGCGGATAAATCACCATCCAGTGGATAAGTATTGGGAAAAGCAGTTGTGTAATCTACTGGATAATGATTTATCCAGTGGATAGTGTTGTCTACTTTTCGAACCACGAG